AACCGGAGTCGACTCAAGCGCCATCACGTAGCAGAACTCAATCGAGATGAATTCGGAGTTCATGTCGTTTATATATACTGCTCCTCAAACTGTCGAGGCTCTACTATCCCTGTTTGACGATCTCAAGAAACTTCGACCCATTTAGGCCTACTCTCGATGAATTCTTCCAGCCTCGTGGCAGGCTCGGTGTTCAAGAACACATATACCCACCGGCGGATATCTTGTAAGTATAGCATATCCTCACGAATCTCTCCATGAAGAATACAGATTAATTGATTCGTATACATACTAGCTAAGATAAGGAGTGTGGATTTTAAGCTAAATCACCCCCCTTCCAACCACTGTCCTTGTGATCCACTTCCACTTCCTTCGTGGTCCAGATGCGAACAGGGGTAACCTTCCTCACTTGAGTTCCGTCACGAAGAGTTGTCTCCGTGGTCGAGATATGAGGTGGGTCAATTTCGTCGTGGGTGTTGCCCGATGTCTCGGTCGGTTTTCTTTGATAGAATCGTAGTTGGTATGATTCCGAAGGAGTCGGGTGGACAGCGTGTGAGGAGATTGAGTGACTCTGGGCATTGTCACTGAGAAGACCAAGCCGCAACAGGCGAAGACACGGCAGGCCATGGCGTTCAGGAGCGCGAGGTTAGGCACGGTGAACACCGCACGATACACCTCGGGGACGGATGGGGTGAGAATACACACCATGGATACAAGATTCACGCTGACGGTGGCGCTAATTCCGAGCTTTGCATTAGATTCGCTCTGCTTTTGACAGTCTGGAAAGCGACTTACAGGTAATACAACTGGCCGGTTTGGAGGAGCACTCTCGAAACTTTTCCCATTCCTCGACCGCTGAAGAACAGCGCAAAGCGGCCTTTCCATCCATCCGCAAACGATGAACTGATCAATTTGCCTGAAATGAAGAGGAAGACTAGGGTATCGTTCGCTGCCGCAGCGATGAGTCCTGCAGAGATGAAGCTTTTGAACCTATCGCTGATGCAATTCTTCGAAGTTCCGATGTGGATGGCACCCGCTCCGAAAGGAGCAGTGATGGAGGCTCCGAAAGTGCAGAGCCAGAGGAAACCGAAGAGCAGAGTGATCTTCGTAGACCCACTGAATACAGCCCTGATACGGAAGAAGAATAGGAGACAATTGAGGGGGACTGCCAAGGTACCTATGATGGCGGCAGTGACGGTAACTGCTTGACAGTTGTCCACAGGTGCAACTACAAATGTAACGGACGGTTAAAGCTGATCTGACTTGAGCTTAACATCAGGAAAACATACTAGCAAATACGAATGTTGTTACGAGGTAAGCTGCCGATGATATTCTAATGTAGGAGCGTCATGACCAAATCATCGACGACGTTGAAGATCTTGGTTACGCACCTGGCCGACACATACACAACGTCGGAGTAACCGATCCTATGCTCCTTGAACATTTTGTACTCGCTGGGTAGCGCCATGAGGACTTCCCAAATGTATGCCTACGACCAACATAATGGGTTCAGTATCGTATTCAACATCCTCAGGAAGGTTACTTACACCTAACACTGCGCAGCATATGTATCTGGCGATTTCAAGCTGGCTTGCAAGGGTTGGAGGTAGCCATGCCAGAGAGGTGTATGGATTTGGCAACACGATGGTAGTGTTGGACATGGTGTCGACCTGGTCCAACAAGTGCAAGGGTCACAGATTTAAAACAACTACCGGAGCCGTACTGGAGGTCAATCTGTGGCGGAACGTCTACATAGAAAAGGAAAACTGCAAGACCGGTATTTATCGAATGACCCCCGGATCGCGCTATATGTGTGGCCGCAGCCTGGGTCGAAACGGCGGATGGGTTCGTTAAAGTGTAGTGGAAAGTCTGCTTAATCCATGTGGCCACACGCCACCTCACCTATATGGTAACTTAGTCAGATTGTCGTTGGGAATATTGAGGGGTTGCGACGTTCGCAACCTAACTCCGTCCGGTGTTTTTCCCAGTTTGCCTCCTTTTGCACCCCGAGAGACGTCTTGTTTTGGCCTATTTTGTCTCGCATACCAAGTCCCCCATGTGTTAAAATGGACCCAATCTAGGAACGTCATATAATGTCATATAAATGCCTAGACTTACCGCATGTTTGAACAAGCTTAAAATCCGAATCTTAACCGTGTGTGCTACATGTCGTTCTTCGCGGAATATGTTCTCAAATAAATGTCTCACTTGACAACTTTGTGCGGGTTTCTTGTAAACGGTATCATTGGTCATCGCCGTCAGCTGGGACAGGTTGCGACATAGGATAATTATTTAGATGTGATTGTGGTTTTCAGTGGAAGAACAAACGTCAAGCTAAAGTCGAGATTCTTTGGATGACCTCATGAAAGTAAAGTGTGAAATGGTCAGACTTCGTGGCCAGCCAGATCGCAAATTGATTCTTGCCGGGATAATCACAGAAGCGTTGCCTACATCTGGAAAGGAAAAGAAGACCCGACCTTGCTTACCGTTGCCGCGGTGTCGGCCATGGTTCTATCTGTAGGTGGCTGTGTGAAAACCAAAGGAGACAGGATGAGACAGGACGCGGAAACCGGAAGGAATCTCCTTCGATTTTTGGGCATGTTTCTTACATTGCTGTGTAACACAAGGCAACACAGTGAAAATTCTGCAATATATGTCCATTTCCGCGCAGGTCGAGCTTCTTGTGACGAGAACTGTAAGTACACCAAAGTATAACCATAGTAGGAGATTCCCAGCGATTGATTAGATGGGATTAGGGTGGGAGGCTGCGCGCACCTTCAACGAGCTTTAACGCCGAGGCCGGGTTGAGATTTTCGCAACCATGCCATCCATATGGTCGACGGTGACCCATGAGTTGTGCTCCAACTATCGGCCGCCTTTATCGGACCAGTCTCAAAGAACGAATCAGACCCTATCCCAATACCCTTTTTCTTCGTAACCACTTTACTATAGTGTGGCGGGAAACCAATACAATAGATTATGGTATCATAGAGATCGTAGTCATTCGAGAGAAAGGAACATCAAAACAGTATCCTGGTTTAACAATAGCAATTGGGTTATTAGGTGTCACACGCCAAGTGTGCGGTAGCAATACAACGGGAACCTCTGTGGGGACGATTTGGAGGAAGATCGGTGAAATCAGTAGGATGTACAGTATCCTGATGTATCGCCATTCGGCTGTGAGACCAAGGTACAGACCAAGTACAGACTAGTCAGGAACTTTCAGGGACAGAGGAAGAAATTGAAGCGAGTACTTTCTCGGCAGGAGGAAGCGTGTCGAGAACTTAAGCAGCACCTGTCTTAAGCGAGCCTGGAGCAACGCTGTGGCAGAGGTTAAGCGAGTGTGTTCCTATGTGTGCGCAAGGAAGATTGTCTTAGCGAGATTTTCATCGGGGTAGAAGCATCGTATGTAGCCTACTGGAGGCTTTTTGAGTTGAGCACAGAGCTGTAGCTAGGAGTGTGAGGGCATCGCGTAAACGTGTACGTTACCACTTGATGACGGACGGGCTGCGATAGTATTCATCCTAGGAGCCGCAACCGCAGTCACTTTCGATACATGAGTAATAGTGTGCAACACTGTCGTCAAGTTTTGAGATGACAACGGAGAATATGTCGGAATATGACAGATTCTACGCTTACAAACGTTAAACTGTATGTATATCCCACGAGGGAAACTTATTGCGGAAGGTAATTTCATATGAAAGATCTAGGTCATTTGGCGGTCGGCTTGAAGCGTTGTACTTTGTGAAGCTTCTGGGGATTCTTTCTTGACCTTTCATGTCCTATCGATTTCCAGAGCCAAGTTGCCAATTCGTAATTGAACTGGAAGCATTTGAGCATATCTGAGCCCGCACAATCGTGCCTGTATCCAGTGGATTTCGGCATACCGCGGCGAGCAGCATAAATATTCAGAAACACGGAAGGTTGCGCCTCGGTGGGCGGGGGTAACCAGTGGTACTTGTATGTGAACGGCGCGGCTACGAATGATGTAATTGGGCATGTCGACAAATAAATAAGAATCAGGCGTAACGGCGTAGGTGTAGCTCCACCTAGCAACGTCAAGTAAACAGAGCTTCACTTTACTGACCCCAGATAAGTCATCAGAAGGAAGCGTAGCACAGCATGTTTGAAAGTGACTGAAGTTCTTGCGTGAAGCGTCATAGCTGAAAGAGTCGATCTAGATGTGACTCGGTTCCGAAGTCTGGCAGATGTTCGTGGATCTATTGGAGAAGGTTGGGAGGAGGACTCACCTCCGGTAGTCTTAGTTTCCAGAGTTGGATCATATGCCGGCCCAGACCCAATACTTTCCAGGTCCTCTGACGAGGTGTGCATGTGCACGTTTCCAGGCTGCAAGAAGAGTTTTTTTCTCTGGTTATTTCTCCTGCACGCCAGGGTAGAGAATGCAAGGACGTATGAGTGTTATGAAGGAGAATGTTATACCATCCAAGATGAATACTCATTGGATCGTGTTATGCGGCTGAGGGGTACGATATTCGTGCTATTGGAGTCTATGAGAGATGCAAGACACTTTGAGCGATATATGCATAGAATATACGAGAGTTAGGCTAGGAGAGTAAATTGTAGACAGTCAACAGGGTAGTGCATTTAAGTTCAGGTCAGAGTTCGCCTGACGTACGCCACTTGGTGTGATGTTTGTGTCTGTTGTGCATGACCCTCAATGGGTATCCTTTTTTGGAAGCCAAGCCTATCCAATGTCCTCGAGTCCTCGTAGCACAACGTCTAGAGTACTGTGCACATATAAGTCACTTCTCGAGACACTTTAATCTACTGTATTCTGTAGTGGCTAGTCACATTTTGTGCAAAAACCGAGATAGGACTGTCCCCGAGTGAAGCAGCTTCTAGGGCAGCCTGAGTGAGTGGGTTGACTTCGTCCCAAGATCTTAATGCTGATAAGCAGCTTTTGTTTCAACTTATTTTGATACTCGCGAGGTCAAGAAATATAGCAGCCTAAAATTAAAAAAATTGCAAGACAAAAATTCCAGTAGCAACTCCTGGTTTCGATCCAGGGACCTCGGGGTTATGGGCCCCGCGCGCTACCTCTGCGCCAAGTTGCTATAAAATCGTATGCTCTAGGGATTGTATCGGCTCAGTAAACGCATTCAAGGTAAATACGAAAGTCGAGAGTATCAACTCATCGATTCTATAATATTAAGTACTTGACCTAAAAGTTAGCAAGACGGCACCGATGCAAGGTTTGGTTTCATTGCTGGTCTTACTAAGTACAACAAGTAGGAATATCACCTCTAAACTTCCTACCTAGCTCAAATCGTCTTCGACCAAACCTCCTTCCCCTTTACCCAAGTACTCTGTACGTACCCTTTCCTATCCAATACCACCAAATCAGCATCAGCACCAGCCCTAAGTGTCCCCTTCCTATTCTCGATCTCCAAACATTTCGCAGGGTTGTACGTTGCACATTTGATTGCCTCTCCCAGTGAGCATCCGGTGAACCTGGAGAAATTGCGAACACATTTGTCGAGAGTGACGACGCTGCCGGCTAGTGTGTCGGTACCTTCGAGGTATAATTTATCTCCTTCCTTGATGAAACGTTTTCCGTCTCGCCATTCGTGTATGCCATCGCGGAGATTGGGGTCGAGGATCTTCATGGCATCGGTGATGAGGATGCAGCCTTCTGGGAAAGCGGAGTATGCGAGCTACCAAGTAGTCAGTTATGGTAAACCAGGAGAAAGGTCGATAGATCGACTACGTACTCTGACAGAGTTGGGATGAGAATGAATTCCGTCTACGATCAATTCGTAGAACGGTCCTCTCAAAGGACATTTCAGGCCTTCTCTCCCTTTCTTCAATTGTAAATCTGAGTCAACCGGAGCTAGGATCGGGGTCTGAGGAGGCGTTAATAGGTCATCGAATGCCTCAGACAGAGCCTTGGGTGCATCTCCTTGAGCACCTTTGATACGTTTGACTAGAGATGCCGATGACGGAGAACGAGGAAGAGTGAAGCTACTCGATGTAGGAGAAGTGGGGGAAGTGGATGAGGGATACGATTTAGAAGGTTTCGGTTGAGCGAGGTGAGGTGATGCTCCTAGAAGGCCGATAATAGACGGATCTCTGTGATGGAGCTGGGGCATGGCATTGAAAAGATGGGTGATGAGACGAGCGCCATTTACTACAGCCGCAGTGGCAATGTCTGTTGATGCAATACTGTATTCTCGTTAGCTATGACGGAAAATTTCTGGGAGGGAAATACAAACCTGTGACCGATCGAAAACACAACGCCGCGCTTGACTGCTTCGTCGACAGCAGGTCGAACACCTTCAATTTCAGGCGCAGCTGTAATGATACGCACGCCTACAGTCTCGGTATCGCCATCGTTCCTCATGAGCCAATCCTCTGTAACAGAAAGGTTGTCAGATCCATACACCTCCTCGAATGACTCGAAGCCGTTGCCAGCTTTGAGCAAAAATTCAGGAGCGTGAGCGCCTCGTTTGGCCAGCTGAATAAAAGGGCCCTCGGCATGCCAGCCAAGAAGGTTGGCAGAATTGGGTCCAGCATATGGGCGGAGAAGGTTCAATAGTGTCGGATAGAGAGTTTTTTGTTGAGTCTGGCGAGAATAATTATATTTAGCATGACTAAATGCATTATTAGGAACTGGACGTCACTTACAATTATGGTGGGCACGAGGCTGAATGAAACCGAATTTCGGTAAGTTATGTCGGTAAGGATACTGGAACAACTTACGAGGTTACGCCAGTCTCAACAATTCTTTCGGCAACATTACGGAGACCATGACGGTAGGCTGCTTCATCGCCTTCAAAGACGGAGAAGTCAAACCCATATGCACCGTTGATCTGGATGTCCATGAGACCAGGACTATGAAATATGTCTCATCATCTGAGTATGCACCTGTACGTGCTCGTACTGCTTTACCTGAGAATATTCCCATCTAAGTCAACGGTTTTGGCAGGTCTCTCCTTTCGTAGGAAGAACGTGCGCTATTGATATTTGGTGTGTTAGCCAATAAAATATTACATTAAATTGTATTTACCTGAGCATCTAAAATGACCCCTCTGCGTTCATCAATCCAAAGGTCTTTCTGCACCAGACTTCCGTCCTCTTGGGGTAGAAGACAGTTGGTGAAGCAGATAAGGCCGTTAGAGGAGGTCATCTCTGGGGCAATATGCGTCGTCGTGACAGAAGGTGGTGGTAAGAGGTCAAGAGGTCCATAGACAAAACTCTAACAGACGGAGCAGTAATGCTTCGAAGGACAAGCATATGCTCTCCATCGTCCGGTCCGAATGTTATCGGCTGGAGTCCGATATGTCCATTCTGAGTCGCAGGACACTTTCCTTCGAACGTGCCTCGCTGTGTCTGGTCGTCTTCTGGGTGCAGGCACTCAGCGAAGAAATCGATTGAGTTGGCAGTAAAATACAAGCTTTGTACAAGCTGAGGTCTGGTTGCCGGGTCGGTAAAGTGACGGGTGCTAAATGTGGAATTGAAAATGCAGCATGGGCTTCTGCCTCGTGCTGGCAAGCGAGCAGCCATCTTTCTTCCAGCTACCACCAAGACGACTGCTAGGACGACCTCTGGGAATGCCCTCTATAATATCAGTTCCCGAAGAAAGAATGGTGGTGGTCAGATATGCAGAGGCTTACACACTGAACGACTGTAGCCGTGGGAACAAATGACTAGAGATTATGCCTTTTAGCGGTCATCTGCTTGGTGCTTTATTTCTCTTTCCATCTCCCACCTCCTCTCCCTCTCTCGACTCGCCATGACCTCCCAATCACCGCCTCCAGCATTCCAAAACCCTCCCGGATACACATTTCCTTCTCATCGTTTCAACAGAGTCCTTAGAGACTCGACAAAAGAGCCGCTCGTCTTGGTTGCATGCGGCTCCTTCAGCCCTGTGACTTATCTCCACCTACGGATGTTCGAGATGGCGAGAGACCACGTTCGCCACAATACAAACTATGAGGTTGTCGGTGGATACCTTAGTCCCGTCAGTGATCAGTACAAGAAAGCTGGATTGCTTGCAGCCCAGCATCGGTATGCTTGATTTTATTCCGATCAGGCGCAGCCTAATGCTCAATATGGCTACACCGAATTTAGACTCACGATGTGTAACCTCGCGGCCGAGCAGACTTCGAATTGGCTCATGGTCGATCCATGGGAAGCCGTTCAAGATTACCAACGAACGGCTGTCGTGCTTGACCACTTTGAGCACGAAGTCAATACCCGCTTAGGTGGTGTGACTACCGTAGAGGGTGAGCAGCGTCCCGTGCGGATCATGCTCCTCGCAGGCTCGGACCTCATTGCGACGATGAGCGAGCCTGGTGTATGGTCTGAAAACGATGTACGTCTCTCCTCTCTACATTATCCTCGCAGGCTGCCTAGCCAGTCGAGAAATGATAGTTGCCCTTGGACCATTCACATGTTCCGACCACTGCATGCCATCGGAGTGCAATTCCATTTTGGATAGCCTCCACGATGACAAGTGGAGCGCTAGATGACGAGTTTATGGTCCGAGAGTAGCATTTCATACCGAGACCTCTTATCCCATACCATCCCTCTGCCTTCCTGACTGCCTTTTTCGTTTCGGTGAAATACTGGTTGTGCATGAGGAGGGTTACCCAACCACGGTCCCATGGTAGCATGCCGAACATCGCCGAAGGGGTATATTATGGGATAAGACGGCTTGCACTTTATCTGTCACCTTTCGGAAACCCTCTTGAATGACTCATCTGACCGCTGCAATGAATAGCTTGATCATATCCTTGGGCGTTATGGAACCATGATTATCGAGCGTGCAGGAGCGGACATGACTCAGGCAATCGATAGTCTCGCACGATGGCGAAACAATATTGTCCTCATTCATCAACTCATTCAAAATGACGTCTCTTCAACCAAAGTGCGACTTTTCATCCGCCGTGGGCTGTCGGTGCGGTACCTCCTTCCGGGACCGGTCGTCGATTACATCGAGACGAACGGTCTGTATGTGGACGAAGGCACCCCTACCTCTACACCGAGTGGGACCTTGGGGGCCGAAAAGGATAAGAAGAGCGTGGATAAAGACAGTAGGGAGGCAGGACCCAGCACGTCCAAGTCATCCTCATGACAACAAATTCGTGCTCTTCTCACATTGCTTCGTTGCATCTGATACACTTATACTTTGGGGGACATTTTGTACGATCGAAGAAGAATCTTTAACGCTGATCTTTGGATTTTTAAATCATCTGTATACTTCATATTCTCGCCGTTTGGCCTAGTCAAACATCTTCGACATTATCTTTTTTTAACATCTTTCGCATTTGCCTTTTGCCTTTATCTTCATTTCATGCCTTCTTTTCTTGCTTAACTTTTGATGTTGAGTTCGAATCACACTCATGACCCAGTCCCAAAAGCGCAATTCGCAAGTCATTGTAATAACTATTTGTGGCTATACCATTCTTAACACCCAGCTGTTCTCAGTCCGCCGACCGACCAATCCTCGTGGGTTGTTTTGCCATATACCTGAAATATCTCGATATATTGGCTAACCGTGTTCAAGCTCAATGGTTTTAGGTTAGACAGGTAGCTTCGATGTCGTCATTGCTTCTGCTGCATCATCTCTTTTCTCTGCGTCTATGAATGCACAGCCTCGCAAAGATCGTCGAACTCCATCTGCCAACTTCGAAATGTATAGAGTAGGGGCCTCTGCTGGATCAGGATTATGTACAGGTTGATGGACATGGTCGACGTCCATTCTAATCCTGTCACAAAGTTCTGACATGCAAACTTGGTCACAATTCGATGATGTATTCCTCCTGAAGCTGCTATGACATCCGAAAAGAGTCTAGTAGTTAGATCGCCTGATGTAGTACCTGAGGGACACATACTCAGAGATACAGGATGAGATTATGCGTATGAGAGAGCAAGGGAAGCCGAGGACATGATGAAGGTCATATTGAAGGTTCGTCCATATGTCACTTGAACCTAGCTAGCTAGTCTTTTCTAACACATTTTTCGTCAGATACTTGATCATTATCGTTTACGGGTCCAATCCCATTGTATGGCTCAAATACCAACATTCTAAGCTGCTACATCTGCTGTCGTT